GTCGTTTTGCTGGAAACCTAAATACAGACATATTCAAATAACCTGAACAAGGTAGACTGACTGCAATCAACTGCAGTTTATTAATTACATTAATTTTTCCTCTTCTATGGTGAACGACATGAATTATCATCTACAAAGTTGTTTTCCGTCTATTCTCTTTGCGATAAATTTATTGAAGAACTTAAAATTATAGAGAAAATGTTAAAAATATTTACAATTAGTATTATTTCATAAATTCCTCCAAATGAACCTACTCATTCAAACAAAACATTTAATGAAATAAGAAATCATGTATTTTATTTAAAAAACTTGCTTACTTACGCCTGTTACTCCCGACCACCATTCTCCAACCCACTCTGTCACTGGCCTTTCTTTCTAGGTCTATCCAATTGTTGCTCATTCTTTTTTGTCTCTATAAACCTTAAGTAAATAATTTTAAATATGGGGAAATTTAAAAATTATTTACTGTAACAAAATGTAAATTAAATTAAAATTAAAATGGTTTTTTGAAAATAATTTGATCGATTGATCTTCCTCATTTTGTTTAATATTCCATATAAAATAACCCATAGTGTCATTGAATAAGAAAAAGAGAATTCAGTGAAGAAAATTTTCTTTTCGACGAAATCATTTACTTAAGCTGTACATTCGTATATATAGTTATCTGCAAAATATATGTCTATAGGAGGATAGAAAAGATTACATCATAAATTGATTCGAGACTTATTATCAAATAAGGTTACGCAATAATTAAGGGATAAGGAAGGAATATGAGGTTAAAAATAACCTACGGATCAGATAATTATCAAATTGACGGATATAAAAGGAGAATTTAAAACAATCACTAATCCTAAACAGGCGCATTTAATCAATTGTGGACCCATAGCTCCAAAGGAGTCTTCTTTTAAAGTTATCTACACAGCCAAAAGAATTAAATCAAAGGTATGTCGAATCAATATTTTATGTACTGCTAGGGCATTGGCAATCCACGAACTCAAGCCCGAACTTTTCATGGATAAACAATCCATCCAACCTCTCATCCTTTCTTGATCCTAATTCCTTTTATTGATATGTTTCGGGTCTTTTCCCTTTTTTTCTTCATTTTTATTTGATTATTATTGACTTTTTTGAATTATTGTATTGCGATTTTAAACTCTAATCAGTTACTATTATCACCTTTAAGCAAGTTTGCTTGATTATTATTCAGTTTATATTATTCTGACATATATGTTTGTCGTTTTTCTTCGTATCTGTCAATTGGATAATTATCTAACCCGTAGATTATTTTCATCCTTACCCCTTGATTATTGCGTAACCTCATTTGATAATAAGAGTCTCGAGTCAGTTTATGATGCAATCTTTTCTATCCTCCTATACACGTATATTTTCTATATCTAACTATATATACGAATTTATATGAATATTCGTCAAAATTAGAACGAATAGTTTGACAGTAATTGAGTGCCGAGTATAGAGAAGTCATTGTATGTGAAAATTATATCTGAAATATTCTCAGCGATTGAAATTTAATTAATTCCAACGTTTCGTCCAGCTAACTTGTCTGGACGTCTTCAGGGTAATAATCAAAAACGAAATAATCATATATGCAAATGTACAGCGTAAGTAAATGATTTCGTCGAAAAGAAATTTTTTTCACTGAATTCTCTCTTTCTTATTCAATATTCCATTTGTTCACAAAACTTAACATTATCTAAAATTATTAGAAAGAGGTTAAAAAATTTAATTATTATTCTTCACATAAATTTGTATTTTGTCTTTGGTAATATACAAGAATAAATATTGTAAATTTCCTTTGATATACAAACTCCTAAAGTGGATTTCTCGATGTTACCATCAGCCAAACAATAGCAAGTGAATTTAAATTCACCCCATTGCACAAGCATGTGGCTATCAAGACTCAGTAGGTGAGTGGATAACGCGATGGTATTTGAAGCGAATGGTACTGGGTTCGAATCCCAGAGTGAACATCAGCTCTGAAGTGCAAGTACATCCAGCTGACGCGTCCCAAATAGGACGAAACGCGCGTCCTGGATTCCACTGCTGGCCACTATCCATCATTGCTTACATCAGATATAAGCTTTCAAATATATTATTAATCAGTCACTAGCAGTGAAATTAGTACATGTATCTCAACAACATCTCAAACTTATTGTATGTATGTTATTGTATTATTACTCACACTTTTTCTCTTTCGACATAATAGATACATGAATCAAGTTTTAGTATGAATACTAACAATGAATTGTAAATACATCCAATCGATAAGTTTCTAAATAGTATAAAAGCTACATTCTTATTGTAATTTTGATTACCAAACTGAAAAATTGAATAGAATAATAAACAAATAAACATTCATACAATGTAGTAATGACTTATTATTGCGGTAGGCGGGATCGTGGGTACGCACTGCTGAGGAGTCCCATACTAGGATGAAACGGCCGTCCAGTGCTTCCAGGTTTTCCATGATGGTCCAGCTTCAATTGACTCATGATTTCAATCAGTGAACTTTCTAAAATCTCCACAAAACCCCTTCTGATTTTGCAAATATTCAATATTCAAAGCATAGAGTGAAATAGTTTGTATTAGAGAAATCCCACACTATAAAACGAAACGGCCATCCAATGCTTCCAGGTTTTCCATGATGGTCTAGCTTCAGTTAATTCATGAATTCAACTATTAAATTATTAGAAAAGGCTTTAAATCTTTCTAATAAGTTATTTAAAGATCTCCATCATATTAAAAGACTTAATACTTAACCTGGCCATTTTTCGGATTATCAATTTGGATATATAATTGTAAAACCTGAAGAGAATTTATCGAAAAGAATATTCTTCGTTCAAATATTAGTCTTCTAATAAATTAATTACAAAATAAAACGATCAATAAAATTGAACTAATATTTCCTTGAAAAAGCTTGGATAAGATTGTCAAGTGAAACGTTGGATTTACTTCAAATTGACAGATAATTCTTATTTAAACTTTAAAAATTAAAAACACGAAGTTCAGCAAAGGGATCCCTTTTCAATGAATTTATTATCAAGCTGTACAATCGTATATATATATATATATATATATATATATATATATATATATATATATATATATATATATAATGTCACCTTACTTATTTTTACATCTCTATGACCTTTAGTTATTGTAACAAAAATATTTCAATCATCTTATATTCACTAAATATATTGTTACTATTCGTATTACGTAATCATGTGTTATAGTTTCCCTATTACGTCATCTTGGTTGTTCGTGTTCACATTTCCTCACGGAACTAGTATTTTAACAAAAAAAGTTTTCATATATATACGATTGTACAGCTTGATAATAAATTCATTGAAAAGGGATCCTTCGCTGAACTTCGTGTTCTTAGTTTTTACTTCAAATTCATTCGCTGAGATTTCAACAAATACATTCTTCCTCTTGAACTAATATATCCTGCGAGCGGGATCGTGGATGCGCACTGATGAGGAGTCTCACAATAGGACGAAACGGCCGTCCAGTGCTTCCAGGTTTTTCAATGGTGGTCTAACTTTAATCGGTTCATGATCTCAATCGAAAACTTAACAATCTCCACAACCCTAAACTGATCATTCAATTTTTACTAAATCATAATTTGAACAAAATATAAACTAATTTAATACAATTAAACGAAAACTTTAAATCAACCTTTAAAATATTGAAAAATATTATCGAATTAAAAAAAAGAAAGAAAACAAAAGAAAAAAGAAATTAAACAAATTTCAATTGAAAGTGATAATATTGTTTAAATGATACATTGCGATAATGCAATCAGAAGACAAAGTTGAACAGAACTATATGGTAGATTAGCGCAATACATTTCGAACAATCTAATCACACGTAATATACTTGTTAAGAACATTTATATATATGAAAAATTAAAAAGTCAACTAGACAGGTTGAAGGTAAGCCATAACAAAGAAAATAATAAAGTATAGAAAAACAATCTGGTACCCACTCTGGATAATAAGTCAGTATCATATATATATATATATATATATATATATATATATATATATATATATATATATATATATATATATATATATATATATATATATATATATATATATATATATATATCACATAACTATGATAAACTTTGTCTTCTTATTGAATAACCGAAATGTTTTGAAAGGGGTTAATTGTTTTAAATAATAGATACTTTGTACAAATAATGATTTTTACATAGAGCAAGAACAAACATTGATGCAGAATAGTATGAATTCATATTATTTCGAGGTTTCTCGTCAACTGCTTACAAACCAAAGTTGTGATAGAATTTTTTACATGGAGATAGTGTGAAACAATTAACATAAATGAGTGTAAATAACTGGATTACAATAATAACTATATATATGCTAGAAACAGGTCAGAGGTCAAAAAAAGAAAAAAAGGAGGGGTAATTCAGGTTGGGTGGTGTAATAGTTTAGTGAAGTTCATTAATTGTGTGATAATTAGAGAGATTAATGGAATTGAATAATGATAAGGTAGATTACGTAATAATAATTAAATAGAATTTGAACAGTTAAGATAATTTAAGAGGATCAGGTGGTGGAAATGTGTGAATAAAATTTTAGTTTAAGAATTAGGTAATAGGGGGGAGTATAAAATATCTTTAAATAAGTAAATGAATAAAATAACCAAATAACCAAAACACAAAAAAACAAACAAACGGAAACAAAAGAGATTACCAGGGTAGTGATAAGTTTATTAAAGTCTCTTTTTGAATGCATAAATCCAGTTTCAGTTTCTTAATTGCAATGGCTTCAGCAAAGCGGAGAGTGGCATGAAATGATTTTTACATTTGATTTTCCTTTTTTTTTCTTCAAAAAAATAACATTTCTATAAAAAGTTTATTTTAGATGAGAAAAGAAAACAACAAACAAAACAAGACAACAACAACAACAAAGAAACAAACAAACAAAAGATCGATTTCAAGTTTTTTTTTATGGAGAACGTATAATGTCATAAACTTGTTGATGAATATTAGAAATTCTATTATTATTATTATTATTATTATTGTTTGATAGAATTAATCTATTTAATAATGAGTTATCAATTCTATTTCCATTGAAGTGATTTACATATTTGTTCAAATTAACATTTGAATTAGATTGTATTTGTTGTAATAAAGAAATAATAAATTCACGTAGTTTAGTTAAACTCTGAAAACAAAAGAGAAATAAACTACATAATAATGAATAAAATCTATAAAATATATGTAATTGATAAATTCATTCGGTAATGTTTACTTGAATCTTTTCAATTATGTTTAGGACTGTAATCGATCAGTCTCTTATTGGTATATGTTCATACTGTGCATATTGCTTCGATATTGCATTAATTCACAAGTATTATAAGCAAAGATAGATAGTGACTAGTAGTCGAACCTAAGATGGGGCGTTTCGTCATAGTTGGGACTTGCCAGCTGGATGTACCTGCATTTTAGAATTAATGTTCACTCTGGGACTCGAACCTGGTGTCGTTCGCTTCAAACGTGATCGCGTTATCCACTTAACGAGTCCTAAATAAGACAAAACATGCGTTCTAGACTATACTACTAGTCACTATCCATCCTTGCTTATATCGATGATAATTTACAATTTCTTTTTTCACAAGTAATCATAAAAGATTGATGCTTTACGCTAAATTTAGGCATTCAATTTATTCATATTTAATTAATCGCATGGATTGAAATATACTTCTAATAACTTGTATGAATAATTTTTATTAGTATTGTGATGTATGCTACTGATGTCGACAGATATAAGTAGTATGTATCATCAGTCGAAAGAGAAATGCCTGGCGGCAGAAGGTTAAGAAGATCGAATATAAGATAATCAGAACAGATAATGATTGATGTGGGGACGAAAGAACGATGAAGTCTGAGACGATTGATTGATACTTTGCAAATGACTTATTTATTGAATAGTTCTCAGATTTTACTAAGACGTTCTGTAATTTTTTAAAATCAAATATATTCGATTTTCCCCACTTTTGTTCACATTTACTACAATATAACCGACATCTGTCTGAAACCAATTAGTTATAGATATTTTAGGTGTTCTATTATAAAATCTCCAGTTCACCTTAATGAACTGATTTTAGCTAATTAATAATCATTAAAAGTCAGTTAGTAATAAAAATTATAAGCTCGGATATCTGTACTAAGTACAAAAATTTACTTAAATTTACTTTCGCTTACATACTGTCATGATAAAATGCTATATAACTGTATATCCATACCCATAAAAGGGAAAACATAAGTATTAAAGTTTTTTTTCAATTACAACTATTATATTTTACGCTTTTGTATGTAATAATCAGCATGTTTCGTAAAATATTTAGGTAAGTGAGCAATAAATGTAAATATTAAGATTGTTTGTTTTGGATATTTATCATAATCAAATGTTTGGGAAGTTTTCAAAGATTATGTTTTTAAAAAAAACTAATAACTCATATCCACATTTCTTACGGTTAGAAACAATATCACCAAATTAATGGATTTTCGATCATTTTACTTATAACTAATATTAAGTAAACATTATCAATGGAACAAGGTAAGGATTGGAAACTAGATATTTATAGACACCAGTTAATATACTCATAATATTAATAGTATAAACCTACAGAATATTTGTAATGGTTCAGACAATACAAGAAGTATGACTTCAAATGTGACACTACGAGGTAAATTCCAAAATTCAGTGGATTATTTTAAATACAATATAACTTGCTTCACATGAGAAGTTGAATTAATAGATATTGGCGAGTGTTCTAGGAATTTATATTTTCGGACTCGCGAGCATCTCCTAGTATGTTAAAGCAAAGGTATAGTTAAAACTCTTAATAGATCGATTTCATTTCAGCCATACAGCTAACACGGAGCAATCACTCACCATAATATATTATGTAAACAGCAATCTGCCTAAATCTGTCAGACCAAGAATCCTTCAGACGGCTCAAGTGAACTGGGGCTTTGTGTCCTGAAGAAGAATGTTCAACCTCTCCTTTTACTTTGGCCAACTGCTGGCCTAATTAGTTAGTAATCATTTTTATGATGTGATAACGTAATTCGAATAATGTTCATTTTCATAGCTTAAACTTATTGATACATATTATTATAATAACACTCCCAAACGTTTTTGAGAAATTTACTCAGAATTCACCCTTATTTACTAATTCGTATTCAATTCATATTATTGTACATATTATGTGGTGTCTGATTTGTATCTACATTATCTCTCTCCACTGATGTTAACAATATTTATTCTGATTATTTATCTCAGATTTTCATTGAACGTATGAACTTATTGAAGTCAGCACTTCATATTAGTCACCTCAACATTAATTTTAAACAATGTATTTTGCCCTAAACCTGACCACTTTTTGGATCATTAATTTGGATACATATGTATCGGTAAACTAACCTGTCTCCTTGTTAAAAGACGTTCTAAATCTTCACAAAGTAAATTACGTTCGGATGCTAATTTATCCCTTTCTTCTTTGTACAGTAATGATTTCCTTTCAATATCTGCTAACTGACTGCATAATGAATGAATTTGATTATCTTTTTGTGATATTGTCTGATATAAACAGTTAGTTGGCTGATTAGTTATAGACTTCCAATTCATACTTTTGTTTAATTCCTGTCAATAATATTATGAATAAAGAAATACTTAAAATGACTTGAAAATTTTATTAAGAGTTATACAAATATTTGGATTTGATAATTTATTCACTGGTTTAGTACTTATATATATATCAGTCTTCCAATGCCAATTAACTAAGCTGAATTTTGGTGTAGCCTAGTTAGGCATTGAGTATTGTTCAAATTCAATAAACGGTCAAAAATTAAGAACTAGTTAACAATTAGTCAGTGACTAGGCACGTAATATCGATTTGCAACCTTATCATGACCTAGATGATCTGTAAAGAAATAGTTATCATATGTGCTACAAAAAGACCATTAGTTCACAACAGAGCTAAAAGATACATAATTCTATGGTGAAAAAGTCATAAAATTGTGTCAGGGAAATGAATTAACAGATTGAAATTGAATGTAATATTATTTTTTGAAAAAGTTAGATTTCAACGAAATCCATCTTAACGGAATGTGAAAATACATCCATTTTGGTTAATATAAATAGCTGCAATTGAGTTGAGTTAGCCTTCGGCACTTTTATAACCTAACGATTTGTAATTAAAGAACATGTGTACGTTACCAATGTTTGATAATTGATTTCTTCAATCTGTTGCTTGCTTACGATGAAACAACTTAGTGATCAATGTCTGATGAACTTAAATAATACGAATTAAAATCGATTGTATCCTAGCAGACGTCAAAAGGATTAATAGTAACTGGAAACAACTGGAAGGGATTGTCTAGAACAGAGTTCGATGGAGAATCCCTGCAGGCAGCCTATGCTTCTCCACGAGGGCTAACATGCGTAAGCAAGTAAGCAAGTATTTCGGTAATTTGGTGCAGTGACTTGGAATAAAGCACATTTGTGATAGGTTCTAAGTTGAATATGACTGATGAGACTATTGACAATGAAATGAAAGTAAACAAACACTTTGTTGATATTACTTAATTTCAGCATAAAAATTGGATCACACATATCTTTCACAGGAATTTTTTTTGTAATTCTATACTGATTAGTGCAATAATTTGTATTCATTTAATAATAAATATCTAATGTTTGTTTATGAATAAATAAACCAAACAATATTGAATCAGTTCAAGTTACCATATACTTTAAAAAAAGAAAATCAATAATCACAATAACCTAAAGGTTATTATAATTAACAAAACAACCGAGGTTAGGAGCGTTAAATTCATTTAATGCTCACTATCATTGAGCTACAATACTTCGAACTGTGCGTATATTCAAATCATGTTTATTGTTAATTTTATTTAGTATATAATTATCCGTATATGAGTGTGTAGTTCTGCTGAATATAAACAAGTTTGGTTTGCTGGTCACTTAACTTGCTTATCGATATCCGTTCATTTCAGAACTCAATGGTAATAGTTAGAATTTTATTGAACGATTGCTTTACATCAGTTCAGACGATCAACCAAGCAACCATATCCTCATAATTCTTCTTTAATATTAGAAAGAATGATGTTAAGTTGTATAAAACGGTCGTTGTATGCTGAACAAATAATAAGTAATGAGATACTAAAGGTTTAAAAAAAAGTTAAAACGTAAGTACACCGACTATATGGTAACCAATTTTTAAGTTACGATACTCATATTTACAATTTCTGATTGTGTAACATCTAAAAAATAAATTAACTATAGAAAGATGAGAATATCAGTTTCCTCATTAATTTGCATAAATTATATTGATGATTCATAATGAGAGATTCATGTAAATTGTTTTGTTTTTTTCAGATTAAATAGATCAAACAAAATGTAAGAGTTAAAAGTAAATGAAGTATTTTGAAATAATTCGTATTTTTTCCGTTGAGATCATGAACCAATTTATGTTAGACCACCACTGAAAACCTGGAAGCACTGGATTGCCGTTTCGTTCTATTATGGGACTCCTCAGCAGTGCGCATCCACGATCCCGCCTCGTAGGATTCAAACCCAGGGCATTCAGTCTCGTGCGCAAACGCTTAACCTCTACACTACTAAGCCGATATCCAACGCTGTTAATGTCTAACCTCAACCAATCCACGAAATTGCGCGACCATCTATTGTACTGAGGTAGATACTTGTCTCTACCCGAAACAGATTAGCTCCACTGGTCACGGCAAATGTATCTTGAATTATCAGCGATCTAAGCATCATATACAATTAACCAATTTGTAGTAGTACACAAAATTACAGAAGTAATCCTTCATACTAGACAAATTATTTACAGCTATATTTTGTATAGTGGATTTGATAAAAGGGAGACAATTGTATATAATGATCATTAATCGATAGGTCAATTTATTGTTTTGCTTTTTATTCTCAAACTCTTTCTCATAGCCTATTCTAGTTTCATTAAATTATAACAGTTTTGTTTAGTTTTAAACAATTTAAAACATTAACATTGTTATTTAAATAAACAACTAAATGATCAATATTAGTATTATATATTTCATCAGGATTCCTATTTTAATTATCACAATGCTTAGAAGTATTACAACTCCGCCTGTAGCGATTTTAGGGCTACTACCGATACTGTACTCGCTTACGAAGAAAATACTCCGCACACTCAGGAAGTTGTTCTGATGCTGTCCAAACAAACAGGAAATGCAATTAGAGGATGACAGTTTCATGGATCCAGAACCACCAAAGCATCTTTAAAAACAAAGAAGAATGGAGTCACAATGAATGTTATCTAGTGTTACGCACCCACCGATGATAGCAATGAACATGATAAGGACCAGCTTTACGAGAGGCTGAAATTGATTATGAGGAACTAGCCAGGAAACAACCTGATAATCCTGATGGGAGACCTAAACGACAAAGTCGGACTGAACAACACTTGATGTGAAAATATCATGAAACGACATGGACTAAATGAGAGAAAAGAACGAGAATGGTGACAGATTTGCGAATCTATGTACATTCAAAAAATGGTTATAGGTGGCACTATTTCCCCCACCGGCAGAAATGCATACACAAAGCTACATGGGTCTCACTGGACCATAATACTTATAAACAGATCGATCATATTTGCATCAGTAAAAAATACAGAAAGTCATTTGAAGACGTGAGAACCACGAGAGGAGCTGATATAGCTTCAGGTCACCACCCGGTAGTTGAAAAGATGAGACTAAAAATAAAAAACACTGGACAACTGGAAATACAGTATTACAAAGGTTCAATATAACCTCCCTTCCAAATACTGACAGAATCAACCAATTCAAGATAGTTCGCAACAACAGGTTCCAAGCATTTTAGGTTCTACTGAAAGAAGAAGAAACTAGTATAGAAGACAACTAGGAAGGGATCAAGGAATCACTAACTTCAACGTGCCAGGAGGTTCTGGGTCGCAACAAACATAGTTAGTAGGAATGGATTTCTATCGAGATAGAAAGAACGAGAAGACAGCAATTAACGGCGATCGAATAAGCGCAGAGAAAGACAAGGCATAAGATGAATACACAGAATCAAACAAGCAGGCGAAAAGGAGCATTAGAAACTACAAGCAGAAGTACGTGGAAGACTTAGGACTGACAGCGATAAAAGCTGCAACAGAAGGGAACATCAAACAACTATATGACAGCGGAGAAAATAGGATGGAAATATAGACAATCAGAGAGACCGATCAAGGACAAAGAATATAAGCTTAATAACTGAAATTCAACAACAGCAGAACAGATGGGTGAAAACTTTGAAGAACTCTTGAATAAGCCCACCATTGAATCCACCGGGCATCGAAGCAACACACAAAGACCTTTCTATAGATATCACTCCACCGACGATCGAAGAAATCAACATCGACATCAGACAATTCAAGCGTGGTAAAGGAACAGGACCTGACAATTTAACAGCCAAAACACTAAAGTTGTTTTATGAACTTCGCCTTATTTATGAAAGATCATGAAATGTATCATAAAAACAGATTCATTTAACATGTCCGTAACATTTGTTTCATCACAATCTATCAGAAATGAATTCATTTGACAGAATGCAATAGATATTAAAAACAGATAGGTTGGTATCAAATATCAGAAAGGTTTCAAATTCCTAATGTAAGGTACATACGGTGATCAGAAAGGTAAACGATTACCTCTATAGATATAAAAAGGTTTTTTTTCTTTAGTGCTGTTTAATGAAAGAATAGGGAAATTGAGATGAAAAAGATCAAGTTACTCTAATTTAGAATATTCGTTAAGCATATTCTGATGAAAATACATACACACTTACTATAGAGTCATATAAAACAAATATAAACAAACTACAAGAAAGACAAATTGAACCATCTTTACGCACACATATAAACAAACAAAGCAATCTATTTAGAATTAAACGGTGAATAAGAAAATGTTAACAGTTAGTTGTTCCAGTCGGCTTTAATTATAAAACTAATAAACGATGGAATAAACAATAAGATGAATAATCAAATAATGAGACTTCGTTACAACATAGTAGGCTTAAGGTAAATCAGAAGACGAACAATCATTAGGATTACACAAGTGTTTAGAAAATAGGATTTTCGGTATTCAGAGAGATAATTAGACCTCCAGATCACTGAATTGGAATCTAACAGTCGACGTTTTCAATTTCAATTAGCGATGTTAGGCGACTATTATCTATCGTTATATGTGATAACTGTCTCACTCTAGATATGATTGAACTTAACTAGTCAGGGCTTCTGTTTAACATATCAAGGTGACAATCACCACACACCTTCCTTCGCATTAAGCTAAAGAAGTCCTGAAACTAAAATTGTTGTTTAGTTTCTGAGCAAGATCATAGTCTCTAAACAGATCAACGTCGTATCGAAAAATCATGGAGAAAATTCAACTTCTATTGATGATCAGGTTTATTTATCAGTTACGCACACTAATTAGATTATTGGATAACAGGCGATATTGATTCAGAATCTACTGATCAAGCAATTCATTCTCATCACTGAAGTCAATGATAATTATATCACTTATGGATTATCTACCGTTTATCTTATTTCTGCGAGACATTGAAATATTGTTGGATTATTTGTAAAAGTAATTACATTTCCTAAAACATTATTTAAAATATACATAATATTGACTATTTTCTTTCCATAGCTTCGATTAAACGACTAACTACTCTTTAGGTACTTCAATAACCAGGTTAAAGTTCATCAAAAATGAGCATTTCATTAGCAGACTTCCGTTCTTAGCTTTTGTATTTATATTCTTTTCTAATGAGTATAGAAGGGTTTATGAGGATTGCACAGCTTTCATAGTTTGCTATCCGGATTGATCCAAGATAGACAACCGAAAAAAACTCTGGACAGTTGTTTCGTCCTAGTATGGGATGTTATCTCAGTGGTCTATAGGTTAAGCACTCTTCATTAAAAGGAAGGTCTTGGTTCGGAACTCTTCTCTGCTCTTGGATGTGTGCTGCTAAGAAGTCTTATACCAAGACAAAATAGTTTACCAGCAATTCTAGGTTTTCACTGTTTGTCTAGCTAAAATCAACCAGAGATGTAAGCCATGAAAAATCCATTTCTTCCAATAAAACAAAAAAACAGGCGAGTAAATTAAAAAATATTTACTTCAATTTCTTGACACTTTTTGACAAGTTCGCTTTGAAGATTACTAACTTCCAGTTTCAATTTTTGTATAGTTTTGAGTAAATTAACAGTATTTATCTTCGACTTGGAGCATAAATCATTAGAAAATGCTGGGATGTTAGTTAATTTGGGACTATCACAGTGTATGTCTAGTAATATTTCATTCATTTCTTTCTCAGTTATTTCACATAAATGCAATCTCTTTTCATAGCTTTCCTCTTTTATTTTCCAAACAGTTTTCTCTTGATTGAATCGGGATTCTAACTATTGAAATATTAGAAAGAAATGGAAAACAATTGACTTGAGCTTTTAACACATAAGGAAACAATGTTATTACTTATAATAATTTTAAGTAGTATGACAAAATTACAGAAAGTTTTATGGCTTTTCGGTGGCCTTTCACAGCCTTTTTAATCCATTTAGCAGTCATCCACTGAGGGTATGCTGCATGCCCAAATACAGAACACTTATTTTGGTACAGAGTGAAGCACTTACAAGTCAGTTTTCTTTTCGGAATCCAGAGGAAACATGTGAAAAATCCTGGTAAACTGAACATGGTAATTTAAATTGACTAGATGTGATCAATTATATATATGATTACGTGTTTAAATTCAAGTTAGTGACTTGAGGCATTGGATCACTCTGGAAATATCTTTAATAACAAGTCAATTTTAAAAACCGATCTGTGAAAGGAGATGTCCGTAAAGTCAGATGAAACAATTACAAAAATTCCAAGCTTTTAGTGATTTTTGTATCTTCCAAATGTTGTTTAGGACTGCCATTGACCAGTCTCTTGTTGAGATATGTCCATACTGTGCGGACTGCTTCGATGTTGCTTTAAATCACAAGCTTTATAAACAAGGACGGGTAGTTTCTAGCAGTGAAATACAAGCTTATGCTTGACTTCTTCAAATATTTAAATTAGATAATACAAGAATAAAGAGTATTCAGTAATTTTTAGTGCAACTCACCAGCCCTGATAATTAAATACCAAACTGCCTGAAACACTAAGACAATAAATTTTAACTCACTTCATAGTATAGTTTTTTACTAACATCTAATTGAGCATTAAGTTTTTCAACTTCTAAAGATGCATCTTTTCTAGCAGCTTGTTCAACTTCTAAATTGATCATTGCTGTTTTAATTTGTTCACGCAATTGATTATCATATTCATTATTCAAATACTTATTAGAACTTTTCATTTCGTCAATCTTTTCTTTATATTGATTTAACAAACATTCTGTTTCTTTTAATTGTGATTTTAAATTTGCATATGCAGATATGGCGTTTTCTTTTTGTTCTCGAAGAAAGTTAATCTCTTTGTTATGTATTTCTTGATCAATAGACTATAAAGTGAACAAAACAGCTATGATAGATTTTTTAAATATAGACTATGCATTCAAACAAAAGAATACATTGATTCAATGTACCAAAGGTTATTTCCATTTCTGCAAGTCACTTGCTATCAGGTTGTATAGGCTTCAACGCAAATAGGAATGAGAAAAAAAGTGTCAGTCCAAAGAATAAATCTACCTCAACAACTATGAAAGAACAGGAGCCATACTATTTAAATTGTATAATGATTGATTTTAGCCACATTGCAAATCTTGGTCGGTAAAAGATAACTTTATCGAACAAGCTACAACCGCATCAAACCTTTTCCTCTATGATAATGCAACTCTGATTGTCAAAACATTTTGAACTAGATGTTGTCGTGGTAAATGCTCTAGCCGATTAAGTTAATTTTAATTATTGTAATTTCATTGACTGACTTGTTTTTTTGCCACGGATTCTGTAAATAACTTCAATAGTGCTAGTCTTGTAATTTGAAAAAGAAGGGAAAAAGGTAGATCAGCTTGTGTTTATAGACTTATGAATATTTCTGATTTTATTGATTTCCTTGGTTTTACCGTTCTTAATGGTTGGTTTCCTCGGTCACATTGATACATTCTTAGGATAACAAATTATTTTTAATTGAGATCATGAACCGTTATAGGATTACATTACTCGATCTTTCTCCAACTTACTCACTTATAAAAGCTGCGTTGTTAAGACTCAATTGCTGTGTAGTTTTTCCATTATTTACGCTTATTATAGGAAAAGTCTCTGGATTTCATACTAGGAAGAAACAATTGTTAAGTGTTCTCTGGTTGTCAACGTTGCTAATAATCTCTATCAACTATTATGTAACCGTTTATTTATAACTGTTTGACCTTTTTATTACAGATGTTGTAAAATGTTCTTCCATATATGATGTAGATTTGTAATTTTTCTAGTCTCCTAAATTAATTTGTGTCTCAGTTATACTGTGATTATAACGAATTCTAAATACATTCTTTTATGCAATTATTTCCAACCCCCTTTCTGTAATTTTTACTTTTAAATACTACAGTTTGTAAGCAGCTAACGAAAACCTAAGAAAATAGAATAAGTTCATGTTATTCTGCCTAAGCGTTCACTTGTTGTTCTAATTAAAATGATAAGGGGAACCATATGTATGAAATCTCTACAAGCACTCATTCTAAATAATATAATCCTAACCTGAGGTAGGCTACACTGGAATAAAATAATCAAGATAATTCCCAGAGTAGTAGAAGTAGCGACAACATCAGTATTAGTAGGACTAGTAGTGAAGATTAGGTATGGAGCGAAAAGGAAACAGGTGGAAACTTCGGGACTCAAAATCTAAAAGAAGACAAAGAATAAATCTATCTCTACTGTTGAGAATAATAATTTACAGTAATACTACTACAGTTTTTATATTCAAATTAATACTTTGCACATACTTTTAATCGTTCAAATTCACTTTGAATTAATTTGCTTAATTCACCAGTTTGATTTTAATAGTTGCATTCAAATCTAATGGTAATTGAGTTTGATTAGAGAAATAATTAGTTTTATTCATTTGATCTGAACTATTTTCTAATTCAATAATTAATTTTTGTTGCGAAGCAATTTTTTCTTCAGCTGTTGATAGTTGAATACGAAGATTTGATAGCTAATAATCAGAAAGTAAATATTAATTGTAATTTATTAGTTGGAATAAAATTCTTGATAAAAGTACATCGTATCTTTGTCAGTGTTTATCTTTTCTCATATAGTTTTGTGTTCTCAGTGATTGATGGTACAAATATAAAGCATTTAATATCATTCGAAACAATATCATCTATGTCATGTTATTGTTCAGGACAACAATGAAAGCTTTAAAGAACGTAATATCACTAAAACTCTTTATCCGAATGACAAATTTTGTTTTAATATATGTTAGATGTTTACATAAGGAAAAACAAAAGAGCGAAGCGTAAGCAAGGTGAGTTTGTCATCATGAAAAATGCTAATTCGATCACAAAACTATTTGCATGGGCGATTACTTTGGAATATTCAACATTGAATTCATTACACTATTATCTTGTTTCACAAGGTCTAATAACCAACGGTACGGGATTCCAGTCCCGAGAACATCGAATCTGGGATGCAGGTACATCTAGCTGACGAGTCGTAAATGGAACGGAATGCGCGTCTTGGACTCCACAGTTAGACACCGTCCATCTCAGCTTATATTGATATTATTCTTAACATATTATCTTCGTCAAGTAGCAATGCTCTTGGGAGTTGAAGATTTTTGATGATTCAATCATTCACTGATTACCAAGTTAGAAAAAGCACTCAACTCATTATTGTGTACATATAAAATTCATTGTGAAATAGTAGAATACCAACAATTAAAAAAAATCATTATAATATTAGAAATACCTGTTTCAAAAAATATTCTTTATCTATTTTCATTAAATGCAGTTGTTTTCGGATAACTTGTAATTCAACAGAATCTTCATTATTATTAACACGAGATTTGTCATCATCAATAATGTTTCTACTAACTTTAGAGCTGATTTCCTCAACAAGATCATAATCAGTTTTATCAAAGTTATAATCATTTGTAATATGAGATTGTGATTGATTTGATTGTTTTACAGTTTGATCACATTTCATCAATTGTACAGTTGATAATGATGAATTAAGCGATGTTGTATCAACAAATTGTACATGTTTACGATTAGTTTCAATGTTACAATTTTTATTATTGATATTGTTACGATTAAAAGTCTGTATAAAATAAGCAGAGAAATAAAAAAATAAGCAGACAGTGTTTTGTTCACACAACTTTGATAAATAGATATGCAGTTTATTTGTGATTAATACATATAGTATTATGATTATTACCTAACTACTGGTTATTTATTTGTTTCTATGGCTTCAAGGTAGTGATAGAACTGACCAGCAGTTCAAATTGAAAAGAGTGGTGTGGGGTCCAAACTAGTGTTTGGAAATAAGATACCTTAACCACTCAGCCATATACGGTATAAACTGAGTATTCAGTTTGCATAATCTTTTATGAAGTCTAGTTTTATATTGCCATACTCTTGAGATTTAATTTCAGTGTGTAATAAACTAATAGATGAACCAGTGAAAAATAACCAGATTTGTCCGCATCTAATGAAACATCGGTTATGTGTGGGGTTTTAATCAAACAAACTATATCTGATGTCACGGAAAGTGATTTAAAGTAAACGATTTACCATTCATTAAATCGACAAAGAAGCCAAAGATAAAATACGTACCATGACGATACTCACTCTTATTAGAAAAATAAGTTAGAATACAATGAAATTTAGACTTCATTTAACTAATATAATAATTCGATGATAATCCAATCTGTCTGAAAAATAATAACTATCCCATCAAACTGGTTTATTCTTCAGAAACTTCGATGATTTAATATCTCAGACTAAAATGAATGTTAAAATTTTAATGGTTATTCAGTTTTTTCCCTTAGACGTTTGTTAGTTAAATATACTTTAGTTGGAAATAACCCGTAGCATCTACATCTGATCTTTGATAAGAATTAAGGTAACCAACTCCTAATTCTCCAAATAGAAGGCAATATACAGTAAATGTTAATAGGTTTCTATAAATTTTCAACTAACATCTTTTGAAATCAGAACTTTCTAATTTTATCATTAACAAAATTTAGTAAATAATCTAGTTAGTTGAATGAATTTATTCAATTCATTTGCGTTCTCCGGATTCATTTCCTGATCCCCCAACTTTGTCCGTATTTCACTATACTGACTAATCTTAGTAGTTTGTGTCATGATCAATGATTTTTTGAAACTTGTTATGTACGATATTTCCTAACTATAATCAGCTAATAATATCTAACATTCACACTTTATACAATATTTGGATCCATTTTCTTAATTTCAATGGCGTTTTCTCCTCTATTTCCACATAGGGTCTCTGTTATGTGTATTGTGCATTGAAACTTTGTTCTGAACCACTTGGTTATTTTGAACATGTATAACATGATTTATTTCGTTAAGTTTTATTAGCTGTTCAACAAAACTGTATTTTTCCATCTTATTTATGGCATATATTCTGATTTGATAGTTATCAAATTAATTTAAAAATGGAGTTCTTTTCCTATGGTGTCTTCGACGGTGTCATTGATATCTGGCCGCCATATTATTTAAAGTCTGTAAACTTTACATCATTATTATTTCGTTAATAGTACTCTCTTTCAGATAAATCTCATATTTAAATTTCGAGATCTTAAACATCGTTCGATCGTTGAATTGAAATCTTTAAAGAAGATTCCATGAAAATTTCTATTTATTATAAATTATTACATTTTTTCCATAAGTAAATCTCTTTGGCATGAACGATATGAGAGAGGAAAGTAGAAAATTGAATTATACTAGAGAATACTTTTTTGAAAAAAAAAATTAATTTACTAACTTGGGAGAGAAAACTAAAAAACCTATGTAGCCATACTTTCACTAATTCTAAAGTTGATAAATTATTCACAGCTTTATAATTTAATACATCAAATTCTTTTGAAGTTAACAATGAATAATTACTGATATTTATTTGATTCATATCAATGTTTTCCAACTTGTCAGGTAATTTTGTAAGTAGAATTTCACGTATTGATTTCAGTTGACCATGTAATTCTTCATTCTCATTTATTAAACGTCGTTTACATGCTATTGTTTCAGCTAGATCAGCTTTTAATTCACTAGATTCAGTTGTAGCTTCTAAAAGTGTATCATAACGAGCAGTGGCCAAATTTAATCTGATAGACAATGTTTTAATTTGTTCCTTAATGAGAATATAAAATAATGGAAAATTAAACATACATTTTAGTAATGCTATTCGTTATAGATACACTAAAAATTTCATTGTCACTTTGAAAATCAAAGTTGTCATTATAAAACGTAACTATTAAATATTTTAATTTATAATTACAATTCAATGGGCATGAAAGTAAGCAAGTAAATCGCTTAAGAATTCATGAAATTTTCATACACTTTGCTTCTGTAAAAAGTGAGAATGAGGTCATCTTGCCCAATGTTAAAAAATTAACAAACAAATATCAAAGATAAATTAATAAGTAATAACCAGCTTAACCGTAGGTTACAGATATTTTTTACTATTGTAAATCATGAACCAACATTATCAAATGCATTTATAGATAATTGCGAACGAAACCAAGATTACTTCTGTCAACAAATTCAATCGACAACTGCTAGTATTTTAGATATTCAACAATCAAAATGACTACATAAGAATAAAATCTCACTCAATTGTCTTGCATCGTTTTCTACTATATTGTTTATTTATTCTCTTATAACTAAGACCTATCCGTTTGGTCAATTAAAAATTTTTGTGTATTAACTACTGAGACATTTAGTGAACTTTATATCTCAGTAAAGCAAATTACACCGGTTAGTCGAACTCATATATTAGTTACGGATGGAGAGAGACAAATATGAGTAATCTCTGATTCCTGACCGGTTCTTTAAATTAAATCAATGATAACTAAGGTTGGATAACTAATTTAAATCACAAGTAACCTAAGGAAATGCTATAATAGCTATGTGTGCTGTAAACACAATATTAGCGTATACAATAAAACTAATTAAAACTTTAAAACAGTGAGTAGTTGAGCTTGAGATAACACAAAACGCCACTTTCAAAGTAAAGTTATGATATCCTTTGCTGTCTCTGCATCCACTAATTGTAAATAAGGTTTCCAACTACTGGGTATAAGTAAGGCCTGTGAAAGCTGTTATGAAAGCCTCTGGTTCATCATACAAATAAGGCCAACAATTAAAACATTAGTGGGTTGACGGAATTCTCTCTACTCACTAATCTGAGTATTTTACTTGAACCACAAACTTATATACGAAAAACGGAGATCTCAATCAATGGAGTCCCATTTAATAAGGCTTAAAGTTTTAAATTTTCAACTCTGCATCTAACATTATCGCATAAATTGGTAAGTAGCCGTCGAACAATTTTCTAATCTACAGTTCTATTTTGCCTTTGAAAAGCATTCTGTAGATTACTGAATATTCATTTGTAACGGCCAAAGTATAAAAACCTAAAATGACATTCAATGAACTGAAATATTTGTTTCCAGAACAAGTAAAAATATATAAAACAAATAATTTTAACTGTTTAGAGATGATACAGATTCTACAGATCATCCATCGAAATCAAAATGAATGGAAAGTGTTTTTGAGGAAGATAACACTTAACACAAGCATAACACACAGCATGATATATCCATTTGTATCTGTTCAAATAAATATGAGTTAATAACATGAGATCAAGATATATTGGAGGCTATATGTGTATGCTGATTTATATATACTAACAAAATATTTTTCTTTAAGTAGAACAAAAATGAACCGTCTTTTGAATACGTCACTGGTAATTTTCCCTGTAGCAGTCTTATTAAAATTACGGCAAACACTAAGTACATTGCAAGTGCAAAATAGGTTGTTTGTTCTGTTTCTAAAGACCTCGGTCGATAATTAAGTCTATGTAGCAAACGATTCAACTCATATTTTTTACTTAATGTACAGAAAGCTAAAAAGGGAGTTTAAGGGTAAAAAAGTAACTGAATAAAGTTTTCGAAAAAATAACTATACTGTAAATATGTAAAACAATTGAGGACGTAATACAATATCCGGTGTGATCAAGGTATTTAAAGTGTCTTAATCACCATTATATTATCAAATGATCACTAATATATGGCTTCCTTTAAAAAGCATTCACAAAGGTCCATTTGCTTCACCTATAATCTGAAAACTAGCAATGTTAGACATTAATAGTCAGGCTTAGAGATAAGTTCTGCCAAAAGGACGAAAATCGTCAAGTAGCTAAACAATTTTAGGAACCTAAGGGATTTTCCACCTCAATGTCTTCAGCTGCGTAGCAAGAAGATTAGGAACGCCAATTAACTCTGTATTTCACCATACAAATTATGCAAAGCTTATATCAGGAAGTATACGCTTGGCTTTAACAGTTAATGATAAATTTTTACCACCTTGGTAACTATCTAATAAGCTGAAAACAAAATCAAGGATCATCAATCTCATTTTATTTCCAAAATAACTATGATGCAGATTTTTGGTAAAATTAGTCTCATTTGAATTTAAACAGATTAAGAAACCAAGGGTCTATAAAATTAGTTGTCTTTATGAAGAATTCCTCACTGCTTGAAACAACTACGTGGTAGTGTAGAGAAACAGGACAAAACACATCACTTCATCAGCAATAAACAGTACATTTACAAAGCAATGCGGAAGTGGATCGTCTTTTTAAGAGGTAAAAAGATCTTCGCCGAATAAAGGAAACAAACGAGTGCTAGTTTAGTACATTCTCAATTTTGTATAGGTCAAAAATATGGTACTAAGACATATCCTTACATACTCCTGGATAAAGAAGTGTTTGAAATCTGAAAATTATAAGCTAACACTATACACATTTTGCCCAACACCAAATGGAGTAGTGGCTTAACGATAAGAGCTATGATTCTTCATCAGCAAACCAAAGCCTAAAGATGCCCTTTGCTCATTTTGACCTGTGTATCTAAGTATTATCCGTAACCCTCCCATAGATTGAACTTCCTAAGATCAGATAGATAAGCTTATATTATGTATACAAAATCACGTTACATCTCTTAAGGCAGGTTCTGTAGACAAAATGGTGCTAAGTGCAAAACAATATGCTAACTGTGTCTCCTGCTTATATTTTTGGAAGACTATACATGCACACAATGTCGCTAAAAAGAACTGAAGCATACCACTATTGTTACCTTCAAAATAAGAACTCCGAAAATGAGTAAATGTGCTTGTTATAGTTAACTGATGCAACTTTTTTAGGGTTTACAACTAAATGGCTTCAATAAAACATCAATACAGAAAGCCAAATAAAAAAAACCGAGTTATGTGAATTTATAGGGAAAGATCAATAACAATGACATATAAATAAACTCAAGGCCTATCTGCGTTTTGAAAGTGTTTTGAACATTTAATTTACACGTTTTCAGCCACATTCTGTTTTTAACAGTGACAAAAAGCAATCACGACCAAGAAGAATCGTTATACTTAAGCAAACTGGACGAGTATGACAACTAATCTTGAGACAGTTTCAGTTCAAACGAAGTTAATAAGCTGAATTTTTCCGTGAAAAAACTAACCAGGAGCTCGTCCTCCCTCGCTTTTGAAAGATTTTTGGTATTTTGTAATGCTGTTGAGTCATTCAGAAAGCGTGTTTGCAACATTCGCATTTCGTGTTTCAATTTTCCTTTAGAGATAGTTTCAGTCGTTAAATCCTCCCCTGTGTCAGAAATGTCTTCATTCAAAATTGAGTCCAGAATTTGTGCTTGAAAATGACTTGAGTTGTCTGCATTTGTGTCCAAAAAATCCTTATTTTTAGGCGAGATCATATTTGTTGTGTAGTTCAAAAAGACGCCACTCAAACAACCAAGCCAATATAACACTTGACCGAATAAAACCAACGCTCATAATATTTTACTTGAAAAGTTATTGGATTATGAAATGTCATTAAAGCAATCAACGACTGCTTTTGACTGCCCGGCTTTTAATTGCTTTGGGTTTTTTGGTAATATTGTGCATATTGTGGCATATTGTGCACTGTGTAAATGAACGATTGAGTGTGTATTTAAGAATCTTGGGTACTTGAAGCTCGTATCAAAACGTCCTGTTAAGCCTGAAAAGATCGTGAATATTATAAAGTTGGCTCATATTCTCAGATATTACCAGCAAAGTAAAACCCGCAGTCACATAATTGCCTGCTCTGGAAATTCATACATGCAGTTAGATATATTTACTGCAACTGACCGATTCAGAAGATAAGAAATAGCATGTCATGACAATATCATATCACGGGGAACAGTGAACTTATTATCCTTTGATTGTGGGACTTAGTTCTTCAGCATTCCACCTACCATTATTTCAGACTGCGGTTACTACTTGCAATCAAGTTGTTCTGTAACTTTATCATATTCATCAGACTATTTAGGGCCACTGAAATATCACTGGACCATAGACAAATAGATAAACAGGAGAGTCACTGAATGTCGGAAATTTCGCCGACCCTCGATGGAGTCAAGGAAAGTCAACGCACATCCATCAATTGCACGCCATAGACAGGCGTGGTTCTGTCTTGCACTTCTGCCATTCCCTGTTGAAAGTATTTATTTTAAGTAGTCACTTAGGAAGTTGATCTATGGATTTATCACGATAGAAGAATCTAGGTTAAGTATTAATGATGAAGTGTGACTTCTACGTAAGCTAGGGTATCTAACCATTCCCACCTAACTCAAATAGTCCTTTACCATCGACATCGCTTACGTTGGTGACCTACAGGTACATCATATAACTACAACATCATTCTATCCAGCAGATTATCGTTTGGTGAGAAGTTTCCGTAGATGGACAAAACGTTTACTAACATCATAGGCTGATATGACAAGATAGTAATGCATATCATCCAGTCCTCCTTGTAATCTGATCTGCAACTTACTACAAGTAATACAGTGATGAATGCTAGTCCTACTGTACACAACTAGGGTGAACAAGGTCATAAACACCTGAGCTCTGACAAGTTTGTTTTGGTGCGTGTTGAAACAACCATAAAACTAGTGAAACTGACGCGTGAAAGACGTCATTACAAAGGTGAGTATGTAACAAGTGGCAAGTAGAAGACTGTGTCTGTCAGCCGATTGAAAAAGACATTCCTAAATGACCAACAGGAGTACGCTTATATCAAAGTAGAATGGTAAGTCATCTTATGACTCACAGAAGCCGAAAAGCAATAACAATTAGCATCTAAATTTAGGTCTTTCAAATTTAACCGGTAGAATAACGAATGAATCCAGAAGATATCGTGCTCATTTACACAAAATTATCGTTAAATAATAGCCATACTTTTCGTTATAATTTCCGTATTATTGTTAAGTTCCGTATTAATACTACTATATTAACAGACTTGGTCCCAAAATTGTGGATTTGTTGCGACTTGGCCGCCTCATATACAAGATCTTGGGTGGAAGCTGCAACATTGTCTATACTTGCTCGTCCTATTGTGACGATTAGCAAGATGAGGTCTAGCATTTCTGAAGAACAGAGTTGATCTGGATAGAGAAGTATATTTGATGGTAACTGTGCCTGTATGACTGAGTTATGCAATTTCGATTTCCCGTTGCTGACTTTGCTATTTTCCACCTCCCTCCTACGTGTCAAATATCGAGTCACACATTCGACTCCAAGGATCATGTGGTTAGAAACCAATAACAATACAATATCCCAGTTCGTAGGAAATTGCATTTTTGAAGTTTCGTGACTTCATGTAAGCGAATACTCTGAAGAAATGGCTTACATAAAGTCACTAAACATCGAAAAAGCAATTTTATGCAATATAGCGAAAAACGTTTATTAGCTGTCTACTCAATGCGCAGTTCAATGGACCTTCTCGCAAAATGTTTTTAATTTCTTTACTTATTACTGACGCCAGTTACCCCTCATCAAGGAGCTAAGCTATTCACCAGCATCCTCTAACCAACACTGTCCTGGACAATCCTTTTCAGTTGCTATTCACCCCTTCATGTCTGTTTTCATTTCCCGACATAGTGTGTTCTCCGGCCTCCCTCTTCTCCGTTTCCCTTCTGGATTCCAAGTTAGAACTTGATTCGTGTTGCAGCTTATTGAGTTCCTCAGTGTATGCTCTACCCACTTTTAACGTCTTTTCTTGATTTCCTCTTCATCTGGAGGCTGGTTTGTCCTCTCCAACAGCAGGCTGTTGCTCATGGTATCCGGCCAACGACGGATACTCGGTATTTGCGTAGACAATTGTTTATAAATACTTGTATTTTTGATGATGGTTATTGTGACTGAAAGAGAACGATGAAAATCCCTCCGCAGCATTTTGTTAGACAGCACTGTCATTTATTTGTTTCTTCTCCCTGTCGTGTACCTTGACCTTTGCTCAGATCTCGTTTAACCACACATTCTGTTCCTTAGTCTTCCTCATCTGCGCTTTTATCATGTGGTTTCGGTTAAAGACTTATCTTTTGTTACCTAATTTTCTATTACATGTTGCCAGACTACTGACAATAAGGTCATGTTTCACTAAGCTCAATGTCACGGCAAGGTTAGGTGTGTGACTATTAACCTTCCGACTATCTACTTTGGAGGATTGCTGGAATCCCTGCAGACAGATATTTGATACCATCTTGTTGGGAATATTTTTATTGATACTCAGGTGTCAAACCTTTTTGTATTGACTGTTTCTTTCACTGTTCGGCGCGCTACTTTGCATTAGAGAAACTTCTGACTGTATAACACAGGCTGTACCGTCTGGGGTATTTTGTACTTTCGATATAATTTGTACTATTTCCTAAATTAGAACCGTTTAAATTGAGCACAGAGTTTGTGTTTTGATATAATTTGATACGAGTATCTCAAAAACGCTTGTTACGCTATACAGAAGAACGTAGTCTGGCCTGTTCGAACAAGTTTTGGTTCGTCATTCCTCTGTTCAAACCGAATACTGGCAGTTTCGTCATCATCGTTGTAGTAGTTTTCAAAGTTTCAACTCCATACAGTAGAACTATATTGACGTTCGTATCGAAGATTATGACTTTAATATTGGTTGACAGTTGTTTTGAGTTCCATATGTTCTTCAATTGCGGCCCTTTCTTTGCCAATCCTTGCCTTTACGTGTGCATCGGGTCCTCCTTCACCAGGCACGTATTTGTTTCCACCTCCATCACAGTTTATCTACCAAGTGTGATTGAGTTTGTGTTCTCTGTGTTGTATTTGAAGATACTGTTTTCCCCTTGTGTATGTTGAGGCCTACTGATGCAGAGACTGCTGCTAGACTAGTTTTCTTCATCTGCATTTGTTGATGTGTATGGGATAGGAGGGTTAGGTCATATGTGAAATCTAAATCATCTGCTTGCATCCAACCCGTGCATTGTATTCCGTGCTTCCGTCAGATGTTGAAGTCTTCATAATCCTGTCGACCACCAGAATAAAAATGAAGAGGGGAGAAAAGGCGGTTTTGTCTGACTTCTCTCTCAACTTGTAATCCGTTCTTCATCTGTCCTCCATACACGACTTTGCGATGTGCTCTGTCATATGAATTCTGTATGATGATGACGATTTTCCCGAGCACACCATAGTGTTGAAGAAATTTCTATAATCTTCTCCCATCCACACTACCAACCGCATTTTCACAGTCATTGACGTTTATATATAATGACGTGTTTCTCTCAACTGATTGTTCAACGATGATCCGTTGCGTCGCGATTCGGTCTGGGTACTACCGATCCTTATGGAATCCGGCTTATAGATCTCGACGTTAGACGTCTACAAAATCTTTCGTCCGGTTCACCAAAGACTGTTGAAAATGTGTTCGGCACTGAAAGCAGCGTGAGGCCTTCGTTCTCAGTTCTCGCATTTGCTAAGATCTACTTTCTTTGCTATCTGAGTGAGGTGTCCTTCTTTCCAGTCGGTCAGTAGCGCCTGTTCCTACGCACAAATCTTCCTGAATAGAACGTGAATCATGTTCTCAGTTGTTTCTATGTCTGACTTCAGTGCTTCAGCTAGCATGTTGTCAGGTCTTACTGTTTCCCACTCTCCATTAGTCGGATGTACAACCTGATTTCTTTGATTGTTGGTTGAGTGATAGCGATAAGAAGGGCTGCCTGTGCTGCTTCGACTTCCGGTGGGTTCACTAGGTCTGGTCCCATCAAGAGTTCGTCAAAGCGTTCTACTCACCTGTTCCGTTGCTTTTGCATCTCAGTGATTGTCTTGTCTTCTTATCTGGTGATTAGTTCCGCCGGTTTACTATAATTCCCCACCACTTTCTACGTTGTTTAATACAGCTGTTTCATAGTTCCCTCTCTTGGCGGGATTTTACGATGTCGTTGTCAGCTCCTACACATATTTTTTGCTTATCTTCCCTAATGCTTCTCCTTACTTGCTGATTTGCTTCTCAGTATCCGGCCTGTGCCTTGATATTCTCTACTCTTGTTTGACAGTTGTTAATTGCTGTCTTCTTGCTCTTTCTCTTTTGAATCTTGTTGAGGGTTTCTCTCGAGATCCTTTTCTTATCATGGCGCTACTTGAGGCCCAGCACCTTCTGCGACATTGAAGTTAGTGCTTCTTAGACGCCTTTACATATGTCCTTCACAGTAGTTTCTTCTTCCGGTAGATCCTGTAAGGTCTGCAACCTGTTGTTGAGGGATATTTTGAGATATTTTGTTTCCACGATCATTTAATCTCAATTTCAACATTTATCTTATCATGCTGAGCTATCCGTTTCCCTATCTATCTTTTCATAAATATTTATTTCACTAACAATTAAAAGATTATTAAACTTTCCTTGTTTTCAAAGGAATTTTTTGATAACTTTGTTTAT